TACAACTGTTCAACCATTTTGTTCGTTTAATTTGACCCTAAATTAGTTCAACAGAGAAGATAATTGATGTTCATTATCCAAAAGTTTTCAGAAACCTGAATAAAAAATGGACAAATTTTATTTATAATATAAATCATGTATATTAATTCCTGACATACAATTGTTCAACCATTTTCTTCTTTTAATTTGACCTTAAGTTAAAGTTCAACAGAGAAGATAATTGGTGTTCATTATCCAAAAAGTTTTCAGAAACCTGAATAAAAAAAATTAAAGAATAAAAGTTAGGTTTCAGTGAGATCTGTTCTTTCATTGGACAATAGCAAAAAAAAATAATTTCTTTTTTTTTTCTTTCTTTAAGTTCATAGTTGACGCTAGGAAGGATAACAATGTAGTACAATATATATATATATCTATCCAAGAAGATTGCATTCCCTTTTTCTATCTCATGTTTCTTTCTTTCTTTTCTTCCTTATTTATTTCTTTTTCTATTCTTTACTTCTAGAATTTCCTTCTACTGTAATATCGATCTCTGTGAGATACATATCGAAGATATCACGAAGTAAGAAGAAACCAAATATCGAATAGGTAGAAAGGATGAGATCGTAATCAATTTATAAAAGAAAAAGTACAATTCTCGAATAACAAATATCAATTGTTCATACGATACTATTATTATTATTATTATTTTATTGACTTTGTCCGTTAACATCGTATTTTTAAATTATTTCTTAAATTATCCAATTAAACGAGAATTTGTTGCTTTCGAAAAAAGAAAAAAAAGGTTAAACCCTTTTCTTTTTTTATTTTCATCTTATTTCAATCAAACGATAGATAGATTTAAAAAAATGCATAATTATAAACAAAAACGATCTAAGATTGATATTATTTTGTTCCTTTCTAAATAAATAACAATTCATTTATATAAATTTTGTAAAATACACGCGTATACAATAACTTTTATAATATCGATATAATATTTATATTTGTAAAAACAAAAATGTAATCTTATTGCTAACGTATCATCGAGAGTATAATATTATTATAATATATTCTCGAGTATACTGTATTACAATCGAAAAATATAGAAGAGTTTGGTGAGTGGGAGTGAGAGGACGGAGTAGGACGGGGGGGGGGGGTAGTTTTCTTTAAAATACGAAACCACTATTCCATGTTATCTTAGGATTGTTTATCGTAAAAAGAAATATCCAGAAATTCAATCTTCATCGTGATTTATGTTTTTTCATTGGTGAAAAAGAGAAGGAAAAAAAAGAAAAGGGGAGGGATAGATAAGAAAGAAAATAAGAGGAAAGAAAAAAGAAAAAAGGAAAAAAAAAGAATAGAAATCCTTGAAAAACGTTGTCGGAGTTCATAGGATTGTTCAGCGAATGGTTGTTGGGTATATAGTACGTCATCTTTTCATTCTCCATTTTCTATCTTTTCTCCCTCCTTTATCTTATTCCTTTTCTATTTCTATTTTCAAGTATCTCTCACGTTATTCCTTCTTCTTAAAATTCTCGATACAAAACGATGTATCTTCCTCTCTCTCTCTCGCGACTATTTCCTTTAGAATAGAAAAAAGGTAACGTAGGGGAAAGGGAACAAAAAAAAAAAAAAAAAATGCAATCTCAACGGTATCCTCTTTATATCCTTTATCAAATTCGAACAATATGCGAATTTTCACAACGAATCCTTTAAATCATACTAAATCTAATTCATATTTTCTATATTACTTTTATATTTTGATATTTTAACATTATATTTGTATTATTTATGCGATTATACGTTTGTTTTATTACATTTTTCTTAAACCTATCATTGATTTGATATTTTCAAACTGATTAATCGTGTATCAGGCGTTCATTTGCATAGAAATTTTATAATAATAAAATGCAAATCACTATTTGGATATGAAATAAAAAATTGAGCAAAGGAAAAATATGAAAGTATTTTTATAATACGTATAGAGATGGGAAACAATTTGATCTAACGAATTAACATAATTATGATTACGAAATTCTATTACGTTTTAT